CGAAACGTACGAAATATAGTAAATATCGTAAAGGCAGATGTCGTAGGGGTTGCAAACCAGACGGTACACAACTTGGTTTTGGAAGATATGGCACTAAAAGTTGTAGAGCTGGTCGTCTTTCATATCGAGCCATTGAAGCAGCGCGTCGGGCTACAATCGGACAATTCCATCGTGCTATGAGCGGACAATTCCGAAAAAATGGTAAGATATGGGTAAGAGTTCTCGCGGATATCCCTATTACCGGGAAACCTACAGAAGTAAGAATGGGAAGAGGAAAAGGAAATCCTACGGGTTGGATTGCTCGTGTGTCCACGGGACAAATCCCATTTGAAATGGATGGTGTGAGTTTGTCAAATGCTCGACAAGCCGCTACATTAGCGGCGCATAAACCATGTTCGTCAACCAAGTTTGTTCAGTGGTCGTAACGTAATTGGTTAGTGGGGAAAAACCGGGCCGGGATTTAAAAGAATTAGGCGAAGTGTTTGTTCCTGAACGACGGAAGTGGAAAGACACTAAAGGAGAGGGGATATACTCTTTTGTTTGTAATCGCCGAAATTGTACGACGAACCTGTTTGTTCCAGGCGTACTACCCGGATAAAAAAAGTTTGATTTTTCTTTCTGGTACTCTTTCCTTGGATTGTATAGGATATTTTTTGATCACAAGGTGGTGCTTGGGCAGGTCTTCTCTGATTACGTTCGGACGTGACAGGGAAGCCAGGAGGTCCAGGGACATAGCCGACCGATGCATTCCCCATCCAGCACTTAACCGACAAAAGAGAGGGGAACGCAGCCCCCGCCGCCATATGAGTCAGAGACTATTATAGTTTGACTCTTGTGGGATAGGGGAAAAATTAAAGATGTCTTTTTTTGTTTTGGCGATAATCACTTCTGGGAGGGTGAATCCCAGGTTCCACCACAAGAAAGAAGGACAAACGGAAGTGGACTGGGGGGTCGCCATATGTTTTAGGTGGGGTTTTTTGAAAGAGTGCCCTTCTTCAAGAGTGCCCTTTCCCCAGCCTCCAATCGGGTCAAAACAGAGGACTAACCTCACTAGAATTGCAGTCCGCCCCCCCTTAGTGAGTTTCGCCTTAAAACCAAAGGGAATAGCGGAATAGAGACAAGTTCCGCTGTGAATAAAGTCTACGTTCCGTAGACTGAACTTCACGGTTATGGATACGAGTTACAAAGGCTCCACCAAGTTCTGTCTATAGCCCGTTCATAAATTCACTCGACCACTCAGACTTAACGAGAACTTTTTAGACGAGTTCCGTGTAGCCGGTGAGTACGAGTACAGCCTATGAAACAGGCTTTGAGTTCCATTACATTGCAAGAAATCATTCCCGCCATTCTCCCTTCCAGTGAACCCCACGTGTCTGCCTCCGGCTTCGAAGCAGTGGGGAAGAAAAGCGAAGTACACTTGTTGCTTCGACTTCATTCATACACTTGTCAGCTCAGTTAGCGAAGGCAAGGTGTGAAACGTTGTCTCCACTGCTCGTGAAACGGAGGAGACTCGGTCAGTATAAGGAATGTTTCTCGAGCTCAGGTACGGGCGACTCAGTCACATGTGCTCGACTGAATATGCAGCCACGGAACTGCTAAATCCCTCGTGAGACTCCAGTTTCGGTCAATCGTGCTTGTCAGCCTTCATCACCACTGCTTTGGCGACCCGGCTGAACGAATGCAGTGACGCGACTTGTGTAGCGAGGAGTTTTCCGCAGTGGAACCTGTCAAGTTCAGTCTATGAATAAAAAGTTTTTGGTAAAAGCCTAGACAAAAGGTGCCTAATAGCATAAGGGAGACTAATCGGGTAGCGAATCCTATTCGTTCGGCTATAAGCTTCTGGGCGAAGCGGTCCAATTGAAGCAGATTCACTGGCATCGGTTCCTTCCATCAAAGCTGAAAAGAGCATCTTCTTGGAATCCCATTCAGTCAAACAGCTCTCTGTGAGCTGCCTGTGATACGGGAAAGAAAGCTTCATCGAGTAGTCTGTTTGGGACATTGTTCGCTAGATCTGATATGGCTCGTTCTCTTCTTGGTGGAAAGCAGTAGGGAAGAGAGATGAATTTAACTGGAAGCAATGCCATCCTGTCTGTGAGTTAGCCATTGAACTCGAAATTGGCAGCTATCTAGCTATTTTCAGCTATAGAACTTTAATGGCTGTCTAGCTTATAAGCTGTATAGCTAATTATATAGTATAGCTAGCTATAGAGAAGCTAGAGATAAGAATATAAATAAGGGTACCTGATCTTGCTTCAAAGCAGCTTTCTTAGCAGAACTTCCAGATAGAGTTCAATCTAGTTTAGTTGATCTGTTACAACAGATCCATTGTCTTGGTCTTAGTATGAAGACAAACAGTTTACAGATCAATCTAGATAAGCTATCGAGAATAGATACTAGAAAGATCTAATCTCTCACTCTCCCTTTCGAGCATTCCTTTTCTACGAGACATTTCAATCGTTCAACTTGCATATATGCCATTTTCTTTTACTATTCTCCCCGGGTTCAGTTACTTTCTGTTCATTCAATCTCTGTCTGTCTTGCGAAATCAAGAGGAAAGTCATTCTAAAGTTGCTTTAGCAGCTCCGGTAAAGGCGTATAAGCAGGAAAGAGAGCAGCTGATTCAAAAGAAAGAGGATCAGACTGACCGGGCAGAGAAGAGGGAACCTCTTTTCTTTTTCGGGTACATAATTGCCTATAATTACCTAAACTATCTTTCCTTGCCAGTGTAGTAAGATTGATGGATTGCCGGTTAGGTAGATAAAGTGAAGGCTCATTCACAGGTACCAAAGAGCCAAGCCGGTCAGATCCAACCTTCCCAGAAGCACTAGCTAGGCAATTTCCACTTCTTTGAGAAATACTATATGTTTGTTTTTCTTCATCATATCAGTCCTTTCTTAAGCATATACGCGGCTAGCATCTCATTCACTCAGCGATCTTCTATCGCTTCGTTCTTCCCGTTGTCGCTCAGGAGAGCTCTTTCAGGAGCGGATTGTCTCTTCACTCGTTGTGGAGCGGGGGTTGCAGTCTACCTCCTAAATCGCTAGTTTTATGGTAGTGACTCGGGGTGCTGGATGCGTGTTCAATGCTGCTCTATTGTCCCCTTAGATGCCTTTCTCCCGGGAGCTTGAGATGAAAGAAGAGAAAACACCTACGGCTACATGCCTATTAAGAGCTATACCACGAGTCGAGCTAACTGCATCGGAAGAGGGGACTTCCCTTTATGTTGATTGATCCTGTTTTCAATCGAATCCTATTCTCAACCTCGAGTCAGGAGTTGAGAGTCCCTCATAGCAACCCTATGATGAGGACACTCTTCTCTCCCCCGACCCTTCCTGCAACTGGTAGCATCGCCCCTCTTCATGCATTGCTGCAGGCTTCGAGTCGGGTTATAGTGAATAAACCGCCACGAGTTTTTCATAGGTACCAACTGGATCTGCCATCAAATAGATACGAATTTGATCCGCTGGTTCAAAACCAATCTCTTGCCCGCCGGGTTATGCTTGCTCAGCAAAGCCCTTCCCAGTTGCTGCAACTACATCTTGTAGGGAATGTCCTTCCACAATTCCTTCCTCCATTATTGTTAGGATATCTTCTTTGGGACCTAAGCCCTATCTCAGAGATATATAGATGTATTGATGAGATCATTGAAATTGTAAATGTAATAGCTCAAGCAAAGCCGGTCACTATGGATTCTACGTCCAGTATAGGGCATCAGATTGTCGAAGCGAGCAGCCCTTAAACAAAAGCGATGGGAATAGCTTCCCCGTTCAAAAGCGAGTTTTGACTTAGTCAAAGATGCCGTAGAATCGGCGAGACAGAAGAAAGAAAAGAAAGTAGAGTGATATGTGCAGGTTGAATCCGAGATGCGCATAGAACGGGACCAAGCGGTTTAGGAAGCCGGACCAGAAGAGGAAGTGTCGCTGGTCTTTACTTTGCTTGTCTTTTCTTCCTTACTCTAACAAGTAAGCAAGCGCTACGCCCCAGCAATCCAGCACTAACGCTATAGGCTTGAGCGCTCAATCCTCTCCCTATCGGGAGAGTAACTACGTACCTCGTAACAAGGAAGAAATTTCAATCCCGGCCTACTGGAACTCTTCTTTCTCTCTTATATTGTATTGGTATTGGTCTCTTCCCTCCTCCTTCCAGATATCGATTAACTGCTTGCCAGCCTATCCCTAAGCCATTTTTGGCTGCTCGATGGTCTTTTCTCGTCTTTCAGATTCACCTCGAGGCACCTCTGATGACATAACCTCATGGGAGGTTGCGTGAGCATCTACCACATCCTTGGTTATTGAATAACACTCTTGATTACAAATCCAATGCAATCAAGAAGAAGGAATATAGCCTTTATCTCTTCTTTATAAAGGTCCTTAACGGCTTCTATAAAACGGTTTAACTAGAGAGTTTCCAATAGACTTCAACTAATCCCTGTAGATATGTTGCAACCGAACATCCGGACGCTCATGCTATCATACATATGCAAAATTTCTTACTGATCCCTTTTCACCGACTTCGCTTCAACCGGGCTAGGAGCTTCTCTTACTTCACCGGCTCGCTTTCTTGTGTAAAGATTCGCTCTTTCGCAGTTGTCCGGTCTTGCTTGATTGAAGATTCGACTATTTAAGAGCTCGGCCTTGAGCCCTACCTAAAAAAATTCCCTTGCGCCTAGGTCTGGGATCGATCCTTTCTCTTCCTCTGGTCTAGTTAGTGACTTCGCTTCCCGCCCTTAATTAAGAGTTCGGGCTTTTTTAGCCAGGCCTTTGAAACCAAGGAAAACAGTCATCAAGCCAGAGCTAGTCTAACAACTACAAATTCTGCTCACCCTGGGGGCACTGAACCTACCTTAACCTAGGAAAGTGACTTCGATAGGCCTCCTTCTCTCTCTTGGCCATCGCCTCTTTTCTAGTAGAAGATCCTTCTCGCTGGAAAGCCGCCTATTGCTACTCTAGGGCGAGTGGAGCTTGGGCTGGGAAATCATTCCTTTGCATTCGCTACTGAACTGGGCCTAAAAGACAACTTATTATAAGCATTGGCTCAATGACCTCTTTCAAGTTATCACCCTTATCCCACGCGGCGCGGGAAAGACTGACCCATCTCAAGCGAGGAGAACGAACTGCTTTGGTTGTCTCTTTAGAAACTCCCTTTTCTAGCTTTTACTTGCGCTTTGGTTTATTATTTATTCGATCTTTCTCTAACCGAGTAAGCAAGCGGATTCTTCCCACAAAACTAATAATCTTTAATCCCGTCCTCGCAGAGGTTCGACGGAGTTGTACTTTCCATGGCTTAGAAGAGAGGTTATTAACCGCATTTCATTGATTTGATCTACTCACTCATTCAAGTAAAGGAATGCCCTACTTCAGTTGTAAACGGCTCTCGTGTCTGTCTTGCCTACTAAGCAATTCCCTCTTCTCTCGGTAGTGAATTGCCTTCTTTCCCGATTGAGATAGAAAAAGTAGCTAGTCAGATTCATTCACTCCTTGGTTCTCTCTTACTCTTATTTATTTATGTTATGGTTATGTATGGGTTCGCCTTTGCCTAAATCGACCGTTCTACGGCTACCAGCCTGTGTACCCCAACGACCTTACTTAAACGAGCATTTTCGGGGACTAGCCCGCTTCCCATTACTCAATAGGGAAATTCCTAGCACATAATTAAGGGAGCCATGGAAAGGTGACTGAAACACCAGAAACGGCGACTACCCGAGCTAATGATAGAGGCAAGAACACTTTCCGGCCAGGCCTTACTATAACCAACCTCACAGATCCCACTCAATCTTTTACACCGATGTATCGTACTCTCTCGACCAGGTCATCATAAGAAAATACTGCGAAATCTTTCCGAAGTGAGATAAGGAGGGAAGGCGCGCTACAACTAACATAACAGCCAGCTGAAAAACGCTAGCTAGCTAGGCTAGCGCGCAATGGCTTTCTCTGATAGGGGCTCGCTTCTTCAAGCTCCGCCCAACCTATACAAGGTGCTGCTCGCTTTCTCTCAGCCACCAGTGGCTTATGTAGTGGTCGGCATTCCTACGTGCTCCTCTTTTCTTTGCCCCCTACTTAAGAATCCAAAGGTGACCTTTGGCTGTTGTCTTGACGCTTTGGTTACGAAGGTTACCGGGGTCTAGGTTTATGGATGGATTTAGTCAGCGAAAGTCCCTCAAACTCAATCAATATCAACAACATGTCGTGACCGGGGTGGATTTTGTCAGAAAAGAAAGTAGGTTTCGGGGGTTCATTGATTAGTACACCTCCGGTGCTGGTAAGGTCGGGACCGTGGTCGTCCGTCTCCGGTTTGCCGGCCGATAAGATCTCTGAGATTGACCAGCCAGCTGGGTTGGTTTGGCTATTCCTTTCTATTGAAAAGAAGTCAGCTGTCTGCGCGAGTCACCTTCTTCTAGGCTCCGCTGGACGACACGGCATTCTCGTTTAAATATAGGCCGGCCGTACTTGTGATGGTTCCCAAAGATCCAATATGACCACTTAGGTCTACGTTGCCGCGATATTGTTCTATGGAAGCGGGCGGGCTGTTAGAAGTTCGGCCCGCTTTTTTTTGGTGTCGTAGTGGAGGGATTGACCTTTTTAACGCATATTCAGTCGTACCGGCATGGCCCCACTGATTTGTTTTCGATCGGAGCATCAAGCAGCGCAACCCGGTTCTACTTGACTAAGCCCCGTGCTCGTCCAAGGAGGGAGTTTGCTTTACCCAACTCCCTTTTTGATAACAAGGCAGAAACCCCCGACCCGACATTCATTAGTTTCGAATGAAGAGTGCTCTGCCCCAGCAAGCACCTACTCCTATAAAAATGAAAAGCGTGACTTTACTAAACAAGCAAGAAAAGCTCTTTACTAATAACATAGAAAGGTTTGAAGACGCTCGACCTAACAAGCAAGGGCGCGAAAGCCGGTGCGCCTTAGAAAGAAGCACCGGCCCGAGCGCGAAAGCCGTTAGACGAAGAAGCAAGGGTACGAAGTAGCTCGAGCTGACGCTCGAGCGAAGAAGCAACGGACTGAGCTAGCGCGAAAGCCGGTGCGCCTTAGCTTCGCGCATCCCTTTTCTTGCTCGTTGCGCCTTCGCGCATCCCTTTTCTTGCTGGGAGAGGAGCGGTAGGAGCAGCTCGACGTAAGGAGAGGTACGAAGTTGCTCGAGCGTCAGCTCGAGGGCTAATGGCGCTTGTTGCTTTCTTCGCATGCTTGAGCGCATTAATAGAATACATATATAAAAAGGCTTTACTTGAGTTTTCAAGGTTTCTTACTTAGTGCTTGTGCTAAACAAGCAACGGCTTTCTAAAGCTCAATCCCTTGCTTTGTTCTATAGTAAGGGGCCTTTTCAATAAGGCTCGCGTAGGGGCGCTCACGTTTTTTGGCTTACCTAAAATCTTAGATTTTAAAGTAGGTAAAGACCCACCCCTTGTTTCAGTCAGAATGAGTCCCCGGGACCCCGGGACATTGGCTTCCGCCAACAGTGGACTATTAAGGATCGCATCCCGCGCATATTCTACATTATAGCCTGCAACTGATTCAGCTTCCGCTTCTGGGAGATCAAACGGAGCTCGATTAGTTTCTGCTAGACAAGAAATGAAGAACATAACCAATACAGGGAACAAGGGAATACCGGACCATATCTGCTTTTGCGCCATGACAATCTCACTCGAATTACGGGGACCTACACATATTAGTACAGTATACCGGGGTCCCCGGCCAGAACCACACGTGCAAGTTTCCCTGCATGTGGCTCGTCCGCGCTTTCCGAGGCGCTGCCTGTGACTCAGCATGGGAGAAGGGGGCGTCACACTTTCGTGTTTAGAGCATTGTCCGAGTGAATAGGCAGCGCCTACCAAGCAAAGCTTTCTTGAAGAGGCTGGGCTGGTTCCTTTTCGGCGCCCGCATTTTATTTAGATGTTGGGGCAAGGCAAGCCCCAGGAAAGTCTAGGTTGGCTCCCAGCTCCATCTCGGCCGGCATCCTGCTCTCGCGGGGGTGGGGTCCTGGAGCGAACTACTCATTGCTGTCTTGCCCCAACCCAAGGCCGTTAAGGTTGGTGAGGAGCATTGTTTTGAGGGAGGGAAAGCGTGGTTGACAAGCCACTTCGAGGAAGCGACTGGACTGGAGTGCTTTCATCAAATGATGCATATGGGCTGAGCCATTCCCATCCCAAGTGGTGGCCCGATTCGGCCTGGCCTGGTCGGGAAGAGATTCACATAGAGACTTTTGCTATCCGGGAATATCTTTCTATGTTAGCTAGCGGGGGCGGGCTTTCCTATGATAGTCCCGCTGCGGCCTCTGACCGTCCGTCACGTCTCATCTTGATTTGGCTATACTTGTATGTAGCCAGCCATGTTAGCTTCACATGAGAGCCCTTTTTTTAAAGGGTAAAAAGGAACTCATCAGTCAGCTCGGCCCCTTTCCTATTCAGCTTTGCCGCCTATTAAGATAATAGGTCCCGTTCAAGCGGCCCGCCTTTATTCATCTATACCAGCTGTCACGCACGACCCAATAGGAACGATTTCAGCGCCCCTCTCTAGATAAGAAGCAGAACGCGCCATCACCTACAGCCCTTTCCTCTGCCGGGGACTTCCACGAAATGAAAACGGGCGGCATCGTCGTATGCTCGACATTGGTTGCCCTGGTTTATATCCCGGAGTACTCCTATGGCCGATCTGTCACCCAACCTACTTAAACAACCTAAAGGCTTGGCCCCGTCCCGTTTGGAGAATGACCCTTATGGCATGGCTTAGTCAGTTATTCTCGCAGTTCAGATAAGATTCGGACCGCCACTTCTCTGAAAGCATGGTTCTTGCCTTCCTCTTTCCTCCCTCCTTGGAGCTCGTCCCTTCGTTAGGTGATCCCTTGCTCTCACGTTCGAGTGTTTGCTCGTCGTTTAGGCCGGTGAGTGAGATTTCTGCTCATTGCAGTCACCTCCGGGGTTCTTCGCACCTGGATAGTACCAGGACCCTTGTGCCCCGGCCCTTGATCAGATAAAGCCGCCCGCCCTATGACCCAAAACTAAAAATGAGCCTTGCGACGAGACGCGGACATTCCCCATGCTGCGGTTCCCTCCGGTCCGTTCCCGGGTTGGGTTAGGGGAACATCCGAGCGATTGCCTTCGCGGATCCAAACGCGCTCACAAGGCGCACAATAAGAATAAGACCAATAGAGACTTCATAAGAGACCATTTGAGCTGCAGATCGTAATGCTCCTAGAAAGGCATATTTCGAATATAGAGGAGTGAAAGTTCCCAACAATCAACGAGTTGATCATACCCTTCTTTGAACCGTACGAGCACGTCCTCTGTCACCCCCCCACCGCGCTTACGGCTCCATACCCCAACCCAACTTGCTCTTGCCCCCGGTCCTCCCTTTCTATTCCTCGGCAAGCGGACCGTGGGAGCATGAGGGGGGGCGGTATCCGCTTTTGACTGATAGAAAGCATCTCTCTTTTGTCCCTCCCCCGAAAGAAAATAAAACAGAGACAGAACGGATTGTTTCAGTGACATATCTAATCAGACTGAATAGGATTTGAAGAGCTGTCACGATCATTCAATGAAAGTATCCCACCGATAAGAAGACTGTCTTCCTACCCTTTCTTTGAACCCTCTACCGAGCTATTTTGCTCAATTTTTACAACCCCGCTCCAGGATCCCTGCGCCTCAGACGAGAATTCTCCCGTTCCCGGGCATCCCGCAGCGCGTAGGCACGCTGAAAGCGAGTCCATGTGTCATTCACAGACCGCTGCAGCTCCCCTGAATGGAGTGACCGTAGCTCTTCCTCGGAGGCCTCGCCAGACGAGAGTCGATTTATGATCTGTCGTTGCCGGTTGAGCCTTTCCCTCGCTTCAAGCATTTCTGCTTCGAAAGAAGGAATAGGGTGGTCTGGGAGCCGTTCCGTTTCCGCGGGTGAAACACCCTCCACATTAGTGGACGCATTTTCCCCTGTGGGTTGGGGTACTTGTGCGCCCGCGCCATTCTCATCCACTTCCCCTTCGGAACTGGTGGACTCATCCACTTCCTCTTCGGAACTGGTGGACTCATCCACTTCCTCTTCGGAACTGGTGGATGAGTCCACCAGTTCCTCTAAACTTCTATGTTCGTCCCCCACTGGCTCGGAAAAGGTGACAAATGGGACACCACAGACTAACAAGAAGCAAGAAAGGAGAAGGGGAAAGGCTTCAATCATGAGCTCACAAAGAAGGATGGTTCCACAAATAGGATTTCCTTTTAGTGCCATATGCGACTTATTTGGACTTTTTCTCTCGTTTGTGGTAACCGCTTTAATATTTGTTCTTGAAAGTCTTCGTTTCCGTGTAGAAGCAAACTCTCCAAATTTATGACCAACTTTTCCTTCAGTGATCTTACAACGAACAGGCCTTTTTCCATTGTAAATTCGTACGGAGCAATTAACGAATTCCGGCAAAATAGAAGATCTACGTGACCAAATTTTCCTCTTCAAAAGAGGGTCTGTCTTCTTCTTCATTCTCAACGGGAATGCATCAACAAAACTGCCCTTCCATATAGATCGTCGTAGCATGAACTCAGAATTTCTTCGATTCGGCCCCTACTAGAGCAAACTTCTACTCCTGCTCCTCCTTCATCCTCGTTGGTTGGTCCTTTTAACATAACTCCGCTTAGAAGAGTGAGAAATTCTTTCCTACCTTCCTTTTTTTCTTGGGCATCCCAATGTAAATGCAATGCATTCTTTTTGATCTTGTACTTGAACCTCCGTACACTGAACACCAACCCAATCTCACCTAACAAGATGTGCACTACATTCGATCAATCCATGAACTAGAAACTTATCCACCCTCTCTCTGCTAAGAGCAGCTTTCTTCTCTTACTTATGATATTTCTAGAACACGAATGTGAGCTCGGAAGGAGATTCACTACCTAAATCTGTGTATGTACGAGCCTCGTTAATGAAAGAGAGAAGAAGAGCCCCAAGCCGTTTGCCCGAAGGCTGAATGTCCAACAAAGGAAAAAGAGAAAAAAGGGTATTGTACTAAGGGTCTAAAAAGGGTCTTAACCTAGCTCCCGAGCCCTTCGCCCTTCAAGAAAGCTATGAAAGAAAGCTTAGGCAAAAGCCACTCTCAGAGATCAGAGTAACAAAAGAGGAAAGCATATGACGTAAAAGACAAGCTTACCTCGATCTGTCATTACATATGATATATCGAGAGTTCAAGACCATAACGTAATTCATTTAGAGAATGCCGATGAGAAAGTAGATCTGGTTCCGAGATATGGAAAGCTGTGAATACAGTTAGTGAAGCTAGACCGGGAAGTGGGGTATCCCCGGAAAAGAGGTCGGCCTTAAGTTCTAGCTTAGATAGCTTAGACTGAGCTTTGCTTTCTGAAAGAGTTATTTTTTCGTTATTAGAGAGAAGCAGAAGCGGAGCACTCGTGGCACACTTACTATACCCATTCGAGAAGAAAGTAGAGTTCCTATTCACCGCTACCCCTGAGTGAACAGTCTTTTCAACAAAAGAGACAACAGCTTCTCCCTCGGGCTCTCTCTCCTGAGCTTGAAATAGGGAGGCTGGGCTAGGTGTAAAAGGCTTAGAAAGCTCCATATCAACATACATTAAAAAAGTGAGATTAGATCGGAAGTCATCTTTTTTCCAACCAACTTGCTCAAACGTAGATAAACGACTCCAGGGATTCTCTTTCCTCGGTATGCTAGAAAGAAGTTAGGAGGAGGGTTGTTTCAAGCTACGAAGTCGTTTTTGTGTTGAATTGGACCTGGTAGTGTCAACCTATCTTCGTTGAATAGAAGAAAACAAACCCGAGGTAGTCCCCCTACTGGGCATAGGTGCAAATGATTGGATGGCCCACTCTGGACCCCTATCTTAGCGCGCTGCTCTGCTGCTTTGTTTGCAGCACTTCGCTCGTAGTTGAGAAGATTGAATCTGGGTGCAACTTGATTCGTTGGAACCAGTGTGTTCATATTCCGAGTAGGATTCGAAAGGACGTATCTCATGGAACAGAATCCGCTTCTAGAGGGTCTCGTGCGCCCGACAAAAGAGGGCTTTGCCAGAAATACTATGAATCATCGGGTAGGTTTTATCCTAAAGATTTTGAATAAAGGACGGAGGTTGGGTAAAGGGAAGAACAGCGATTGGCAGACTAGACTAAGTGTCCACTCACTACCTTTAGAGAAAAATAAGATTTTTGCTGCTAAGAACAATTTTATCCAAAACAGTTAGCTAACAGCGATTCAAACGGATTAGCTAATCGTTCTCCCAATGACCTTTTCGATCGGGTCACTGGATTTATTTTCAAACAAGGTCTTTTCCACTCGTGCTAAACACACGATTCCGGAAATCCTCAATCCATACATTTACCCATCGATCAGACCATAAGCTTCTGGGCGATACTGTGCTTCAAACATGCGGTCTTCACCAATATAGTATCGAAGGCTTGAGTTACGTCCCTGGAGTCACTCTGCCCGGAGACTCCTACCCTTCTCTTATATTATCTTATAAGCCTAACCTTTCTTATTTAGACCTCTTCCCGGCTTTATATTAAGGTTTCGTATAAGAGAGATCCCCTCCCAGACACTGTAATCGTGATCTCTGATGTTGGTATTGGCGCTTTCTCATAACTTTCAGCTACCCTAATCGGTTCCTACATTTATTAGACGTTGTAAAGGTGCGAGTTGTCTCAGAGGCCGAAAGTAACGGGAGGATATATCGATAGGATACCCCAGCCGAAGGAAGTGTTCTATTCCCGGTGGTCCAATCAAAACCAGTTGTTTATTAATCTTGGGCACAACTCTGGATCCATATCCATCAGTCTCTTCCAACAAGCCTGGTTCAATACCAGCTGTACTGGTTGTCTCACTGCGTGCACTTAAAACAAAGCCAATTCCACTTGGGAAGATCAACCCCTCCATATTCTTATTATGGTCGCTCGTTTTCAAGTGCTTTTTATTGAACCATCCGGTATGTTTATAACTTTCAAATTGAACTGGTAGTTCATGTATTGTAGACCAGGCACGGAGCGTACCATTGGACCTGTTCTGGAACTCCGTTATTCAAGTAAAGAAATGGGGCGGTTGCTTGCTTTTCTCTTTCCCTTTAGCTTGGGACTTATTAGTAGTATGAATCCCATCTATTGATTCCCTTTCCTTCGACACATATGCATAGGGCATTCCTCTTGACTCCCAAAAGCTTCTCAAAGAGCTCCTGAGACTAGTGAAAGAATTTCATTGCCTTGAACCCCCTCCTTCTTGCAAACAACTTCTTCTTCCCAACCATTAGACCGGGAAGCTAGCTCTAACCCCATCCCATCCTCGGGTATCCTTCCTTTCCTGGCTGTCGTAACAACAGCTTCGTACTCCTAAGGATCTCTATGCCACTTGTGATTCCCAGCCAAAGAGGCGCAATGCAAAGGTTTCTTTTATCGGCCGATTCCACTGCCGTAGGGCTCTCTTGGAATTGGAAAGTCATCCGATCCTTTCCTTAGCCTAGGAATTCACTTTCTCCAGAACCTAAAAGGTGCCCAAAAATATAGAGCCAAAAGTGGGAGTCTTATATCAGTTTAGTACTATCCGTTCTCGCTTTCTTCAACAGTAAGAGAAAGACGACTTACACCATCCGGGGACAGGAAGCCTCTGAACCTTTATAACAGCTGATTCCATAGCTGCGGATTCCTTTTCCTATTCTTCCGCCGCTTCTACAGTTGTGATTGCGCTTGAACTAATAGAAATAGAAGCAGGGGCCTATCGCTTTCTTTCATCTTTCTCTTCCTGTAGCGGATGCTAGGCGCTCTCAAGAGCTCTTATAGAGTCATATGAATGTGCAGCTCCTTCTTCTATCGACGCAGCTCCTGAGACTAGTGCTACTCCTAGTCTCCACAGAAAACTTGCTACCGCTATTTAGTCCACAATTACTTTAGCCTTCGTTTTAACAGCAAGAGTACCTTGCGGGGATATCTTCTCCTATTGATTCAATTCCTGCAAACCTCAAAACATCTCCTTCTCTGTGCGCTCACTCCATTCCTCAGCAAAGCAATCCGGTCGGTGCGGGCAAGGCAGTACTGGTACTCAATCGATCTTGCTCTAGCCGAAAGCGGCTTCACGGAAAGGAAAAGTCAACCTTCCCTATAGTGCTTTCTCGAGGGGCCAGATATGATCTTGCCAAAAGGTGCGGAAAAAGCAGCTTCACGCTCTACTTTAGACTACTTTCCTTTTCCAGGCAATTGGTTTAGCTAACCCTTATTATATTATACGCATCTATTGGGCAAAGAAGCATCGCTCCTTCCGGGCTTTATTCCACAGTTTCGTCTTTCCGATCATTCGACTAAGGGGAGAAGGGGTGGATGAGGCTTAGTAGATTCGGAAGAGAATTCTAATCCATATCTGATCTTTCCCGGAAAAGACTTTGGCTTCTTGAATAGGCCAGATTCCACTTGTCGTGAGAAAGAGGATGAAAGGAACGCTTATTGGTTTCGTTTCGTAGCCCCTCCTGCCGCAGTGTGCACTAAGTCGACAGCTTCTTTGTCGAAATGAGGAATCGGAATCCCTTCACTTAGTAGCTTTAAAAAGGAAGTCAGGTTTTGCATTCTATAGAATGCCCAGAATCGGTTGTGAAAGAATGGCTTTTGTTCCAATCATCCGCTGCGCCCAGTAGTTCCTTTTTTCATCGTCTGCGAGACTTTTAGTTAAATGAAAGGGTCCAAAAAGAGCTCGAAAGGAGTCCTTCGTAGTGAGAGAGTGAGTTCCGGTCCGACACGAGGTGAGGGATAGTCTTAGCTGCGAGGCCCCGTACTAAATATGATAACAGGGATGTAAGAGGAGTATGGAGTTGGTGCACATAGTAATGCCAGGGTCTCGAATGCAAAACTTGGACTTGAAGGGAAGGAAGGCTTCCCCAGTCGCTCTAGTTGATGCTTACTTTCTTTGGTGTACAGGGAATTCAATAACAGAAGTGGAAGTGCGAAAAAGGCATATCGGCTAAGGCCTAGTTCCTCTTCAAAGGTAGGCAAAGATTGAATAGAATCTTATCCTTTCTCAGCGGGATCCTATCTTCGCATGAAAAAAGTCAAGTAAGCAGTCAAGAATGAATCTGTCTCAGATCTGGCTTTCACAGGCTAAATGCCGTATGTTGACAGACCTTTAGAAGCTAACTGATCTTTAGGCTATGCTATGACTGCCTCGGATCTTACTAAACCCAGGGAATCCGTTCCTCTTCTCCCGTCTGCCTAAAAGGAAGAAGCCTAAGCAGCAATCTCAAATGTTTACTCAGTCAGCTATCTACACCGGTAAGTTAGGTATTTCCTTCGTCTCGTCTAAGTAGTCTAGTAAGGAAGGCGAAAGGAAGATCTTAACAACTACATCTGCCCTATCATCCTGCCTTCTTATAAGTTTTCGATGGAATGGCGCGAAATCCATCATTGGCAAAACAATTGGAAGAAGGCATGGACCTTCTCA